ACCCTCACAGGCAATACTGGCAGAACCACCTCAAAAAAACTGGCCCTATGGTCTGTATGATTTGGTCCTGATCATACAGACAAAATATCCAATGGCCAAAGTTGCAGTCTTGAAGGTCAGCCACTCCCGCTCCACGCATGATTTTACTGATATGATAGATGTAGGGCATTGTATCACTCACTCCATTTGATTTTTCATCTGATCACACAACTTTCATATGGAATGCATACTATGCCTACGTTGAATGTTTGGATGTGGTCAGATTAGATAAATTGACTGGTATGTATGTTCTATGATGTGGCTATCGAGCAAATGGTGATTGATCGGTCATGTGTTAGAGTCATTTGAATCCAGGCATCCATCCATCTTATCCCTCGGTTGGTGATGTAGCAGGGCCATGATTGACTGTGCTGACTAGTAATCACTCCACAGAATTTTTCTTAAACAGTTCTGGAATAAGCAATTATTCTATGCTTTTTTTTATTGGGTGTCCATTATTACAAAAGGCAATGGGAGTCTCAGGCACCCCAGCAGTGCACATCCTCATCCCATTTTGCTTGACCTGAATCACTGGTATGATGGTAGCAATTTTCAGATCTTCCACTGGCGTTCACCATACTACTACACTCACGCAAGAAAAGCAGAAGTGAAGACCAAGGAGGATACAAATATGGCATCTAAACCCTCAACCCCACCACTGCTTGGTTGAAATCCAACTCTACTAGCAAATCAAAAGTGCAGTCTCTTGGTCCGGCTTCCAAGCCAATGCTTAGTAACCAGGCAGACATTGTCACAACATCTTGTAGGTGACTAGTTAATTATTAACTATCCATGATATGACAGACTTTGGCTTCAGGCAAACCCAAGGAAGCTGAACATCTCACAACTGAGAGTCTGGTAAATAGTTTGAATAATGTCATTGTCTCAATAGGTCAACCTGATTTATTGTCGAACGAAACCGAATTTCTCACGATGATTGAACAGGCAAATGTGCCGACACAATTATAGATGCACTTCAGCATGTACAAGTAGAGCTAATGTGTTTTTCGAATGTTTCTTTTCATGAATTTGTGACCGTGCTTGACTTGATTAGTGGGGATGATATGCACTTCTTGAAAGCAAAGTTAGTTTATAACATTGTGTGAATCTATGCATACCTAACCGAATGATGCAGGATGACATATTGTCCACGCACCATGGTCCTCATTATATACTCCCCCCACCTAGTTCATGATCAAACAACAAGCGAGATATCATCTGCAATCTCAAGCGAGCTCTGTTCCCTCTCGTTCACGCAATCTCTGTTGATGGTTGATGTCATACCTGGTCATATCTATTTGGAGGATATCTTCACTATCCCTGATATGCAACTCACTTTAACCCCTACCACCTCAGAGGTGGCAGAGACTGAGGTGCTGTGGTACACAGAGACCGCATTTTCTCAATCTAAATGTGTCGCCCTCAAGAAGATAGAGAAAGTCCTTGTTACTCACCGCAAAATCATATGCATATTATTCATCCTCATATCCAAGCGAACTCATTATGAAACACCCTCAGAGGATTCCCCTACTTACAGCCAAGCACTCGCCAACAAATCTCCGCGCCCATACACCTCTTTTTCACCACACAGGGACACAGACAAGTTATTTGGTCCATTAAAGCGATGGGTCATGACTGGATCAATGTATCTAAGGCCGAGTCTTTGTCTGGCTTAAGAAGGATAACAATGTCATCAATGTAAACGATCCTCACATGGCTTATGGAGTGGGTAGCTTATTTGACGTATCCAATAGGTACTGACATCATATTTTCAGACACTGTTTTCCGACACTTGATATGGGCCAGATCAGTGTTGCCTTGAACCAAGGCATGAACTTGGTCAAGTTTGTGATGCCCATCAAATTAGATACCCTACAACCTGCTGTCGACCACACCAATCTTCTTACACCAAGCACGATTGTATTCAACTGGGACACCGATGTTACCTTCATGTCTGTTGCTGTGTACAAGACAGCTCACTTTCGGTACTGTGACTGGTACCATCGCAACTTCAGTGGCACCAAGTGTTGTCATATGAACAACAGTGGAGATGAGGTTGAGCTGGAGAGACCTTTGAACAGAAGGGTCATCACGTCTGCATCTGATAATGCTGATGATACAGGGCTCTCAGCTAGCATGTCAACCAGTGGGTCCAGTTCTTCAGAGCAGTCCAGTTCTTCTGGGGAGTTACATTCTTCTTGGGAGTCAAGTTCTTCTGTGGCCTAGTAATAATTTCCTCCGCAATTTTAGCACCTGAAGTGTTACGTTTGGCTTTGAATTCATATCAAATATTTGGTTTAAATGAATTGCTTCCCAATTGTTCGAATTATTACATATTAAAAAATATACACGATATCGGAGTGCAAACCAAGGTCTTTGAGTAGACTCAGACGTCTCTCATAATCCATCAGTGTGCATTGGTTCCTGCCCAGCTTTGTCCATAGGGCTCCTAAAAGCTCAGATTTTTGCGCTGCAATTGAAATATCCTCATGTATCACAACTTCATGTACAGCAGATAGATCTTCCTCTAGTATGTCCAGGTTATGCAGTGATTTCTCAGCATCGAGAATGAGTCGTTGTATCACATCATACAGTGACATATCTCCTTACTTAATGGCCAGCCCACCTTGACATTTTCTCCATGTGACATGGGCCAACCCACCATGGGCCCACTTTATAAGTGTAGGTCGGTATATCTGGGTGGGCCTGTGTGTTCTGTGTACCATATTGTGATGGGCGGGCCTACTGCCCATATTCTTTGAAACATTGAGTGGGCTGATGGGACTCTGAATGAAGGATAGTGTGTTTACAGGTGGGCTCACAGTAATGAGGAAAAGTGATGATTCAACAATTCCAAGTGGGCCCATGAGTTTCCGAGATGGCTGGAATACTGGCGCCGATGAATTGCCAGCAGCTAAAAAATGAGGCATTCTGGCGAATGTAACAGTAAACAAGTGAATGGAAATACCACCACCGGTGATTGAAAAATAATTGACCACCGGCGATTGGAGCAGTGATTAAACACCAGCGGATCACAGGGTCAACAACCACCAGCATATGTAATGGACTACCAGACATCCAAAAGTAATCAACCGCTGGTGGATAAAAATATGGATTGTAGCCCGATTCTAGGAACGTCTGAACACCTTGTCGAGGGCCACAAGGTTCAATCACATCCATTGTATTGACCCCAAGCTATTACGATGTTCCTTTGTCAAACTCACTGCATCCTTCCCCAAATGACTCACCAGCCTTTATATTGCCCTATGAACACAGCATAACCCAACTCCACTGATACCTGCACCACATAGGAAAGACGCCCTCACCTCACTGCCCTCACTGCCCAGACATTGACGAAACAGTACCCGCATTACCTCCTTGATTGCCCACACTATCATAGAGAACGTCATACACTACTCCTAGCTGTAGGTCGTGATGCCATGTCGCTATCATTCCTTCTCTCCGACTCCTCCACTACCCCACACCTCGTCCGATTCATCAACTCCACAAACGACTGCATAAGACTTATGGTGAAGTACCACTGCCTCTTAAACCCCCAGATTGACATAGTTCCATTCCCATGTAGATAAAACTACGCCTGTAATGTTCATGCACCTCAAGACTGACCATCCGCCATCCTCACCCCACCCTCGTCTCATGTACCAACACCCTTGTATATCACCTGTACATCAAACCTCACTCACCTACATGGACTCACCACGCCTACACCGACATATGTCAAACAAGCACCTGGCCACACCTTCAGTCCCCAAGGTCCACCCACTTGTTCACACCATGCAATCCTGTACATGCCCGCTACACACAGCCGAGTACGTGTTAAAACTTGAATACGATAGCCCAACCCACATGTACATAGCCTCTAAAGTCATCTCACTCACTGAACAGTGCATCTAAAACAGCCGGTGGGAATGGCGGACTGATGGAGGTACACCTCACATCAGGGCATTTGCGTGTTTGGAGATGCTATTGGGACACCAGGGGTCCTGTAGACTAGATTGTAATGTCCTACATAGAGTACTACTCTGCAAAGGACAGAAATGGATTTTTTTTTTTAAACTGTGTAGAGTATACAAAATCTAGGTACTGTATGTAATGACTGACATTTCAAGGTTTAAGCCACTTTCGGCTCATTCAGATTCAAGCTCATCACCAAACACTAAGTCCAACACCACCAAGGTGCTTTGGGTGTAAAAAGTGTCGATGTTTTTTGAGCATTTTGCTCATAACTTCTTCGAATTATGTTAGCAAGAGGTTCCATCATCATATATGTGTTCCCACATATGATTGGCACAACTTATGTTTTGAGTTCCTAATTAGGAAAATTTCCCACAGTCCAACCCCAAAAGCACCTTCTAAAATTTCATCAGGTTGAAAGCAACCTCCTAAAATATAAAGTGGGCCACTCTGAATTTGGGAGGTTGAAAAAGCACCTGCAAAAGCACCAGAAAGCATGCACGAAAGCACCTTCTGAAATTAGACAGCTAAGAAAGCACCTGCAAAAAGCACTATCCAAAATTTCATCAGGCTAGAAAAGCACCTGCAAAAGCACCAGAAAGCACCACCTCTGGAAGCACCTTCTGAATTTGGGAGGTTAAGAAAGCATGCGCGAAAGCACCTTCTGAAATTGGAAGGTTAAAAAAGCACCTGCAAAAGCACCTTCCAAAATTTCATCAGGCCAGAAAGCACCCCAAGAAAGTATTCTCCTAAATATAAAGTGCATGTGAAACTCCAGCATCTTCCCTAAAGGACATAAAAGCACCCCTTCATACATGTTTTCATAATTTTGTCATATCAGGAGAGTGCTTTCTTGGGGTGCTTTCTGGCCTGATGAAATTTTGGAAGGTGCTTTTGCAGGTGCTTTCTTAACCTTCCAATTTCAGAAGGTGCTTTCGCGCATGCTTTCTTAACCTCCCAAATTCAGAAGGTGCTTCCAGGGGTGGTGCTGTCTGGTGCTTTCTGACCTTCCTAATTTGGCAGGAGCTTTGGCCTCCCCCAGGGTGGGGGGCTCCATTCAGATTAGTGTCACGCGATGCAATGCTTGAAAGTATCAAAGGCTGAAAACGAATGTTTGACTAAATGTTATACATTACATTACATACATCGTATCATCAAAGGGGATTACCAAAATATGAAATACTTTCTGCGAATCACGAATACGTATTGTCTAAGATGTATCTACGGCTGTATGCCTCCACCCTTCGTCCTCACCTTGGACATAGTCCCTGTCTTGGGGTATGCACATTAGGTCTGAGCACGGATCCCATATTGGATCCTTCTTCGCCACCACTCTCTTACTATTATTGTATTGTGTACTGTGAACCATGTTTCTCGCAATTGATCAATGGCGGACTGAAAAATCACAGCACACATCTAGCAAAGGCAACATTAAACAGAAGCAACAGGGAGTTGGACAAATGAGCCTGCAATCACACCCTACCAGAGCGACATTTTGAAGCCCACACGAGAAGCAACAGGAAGGAGATGGAGTTTGGGATGTGCAGAAGGGCCACACAAAAATAAATGAACTAATATATTGCGCAACCTCTAGCGACAGCCAGACAAGATGGAACATGTCAAATGGTGATACAAACAGCACAGACACATCGCGCGACCATCGACGACAGCCAGGCACCCATAAAGGCGCTAAGTGCGAGAGTTGCCCATTATACCATGCCAGAGCGACAGCTCAAAACTCCCATAAGGAGCTATGGCAAGGAGATGGGGTGATATTCTCCACGCCACGCGCCATTCTGTAAGACGACTTGGACAAAAATCCCTGGTTGGCGTATGTTTGATTTGCCTAGACATTTGCGGCATTTTCATAATGCATATGATCACAATATACTTCGAAAGCTGAAGAAGCACTTCTATATGTAGTACCTGAGTTGCATCAGCAGCGTAATCAGCCAATTTAACATTGATTATCCCTGCCATCACTGAAGACACACGGACTAATCAATGAATTAAATGACATCAAATACATTTAGGGATCGTAGGCTCAGTATGAATACTGCTTGATAAATCAAGCTCCAATCTAGTGGTAATACTCACAAATTTGAATACCTCTCTGCAAGGAGCTCCTGAAGCTAGTAGCATATGAATTCAAACCGCATCTTGTTTCAAAATGCATACAATTCTTGCGTAATTCGATAACTAAGTAAAGGCGAAGACTATTTGCAATTTATACAATGTGCACTGAATTATGATGGTGCAATTGTATCTTGTCTGTATTCTTCATAGATCCACAAAACGATTTGAGGATGCCTGACATCTACATCACAGTACCGAGAATGTCAGACATGTGAGGACTTACTCGACTTCGAGGACTTTAATCACGTAAAGGGACTTTGACTTAGTATGCTCTGTCGAGACTTCCAACGGGATTATACCTACCAGTTTGACTTTGAGGACGTCGTTGAACTTTGAGGACCCTATTTGACTTTGAGGATGTCGTGGGACTTTGAGGACATTGTTGGACTTTGAGGACACTTTGAGGACACTTTGAGGACCCGGTTTGAATTTGAGGACTCGATGGGACTTTGAGGACTCATTTTGGAGAGTATCAATTATGTTACTTCAGCTCTATGTATTTCTTCATACACGCGTGAATCACACATTTACTAGTAGCATCCTAATAAATTCCAAGGCGTAGTAATATGAGTGTGACTCGCAAAAATTTGAACCGTTGTAATCTATTAGGTATTGTCCAAAAATTGTGCTCAGTGTCATATTAAGTGAAAGTACGACTACATGCTTAACATCGCAAAGGTCTAGTAAGTCTATTAAGTCCTCAAAGTCGTCATAGTCCTCAAAGTGTCGTTAAAGTCGCAGTAAGTCCTCAAAGTGTCCTCAAAGTCATCATAGTCTTCAAAGTGTCCTTAAATTCGTGGTAAGTCCTCAAAGCATCCCTAAAGTCTTGTTAAGTCCTCAAAGTTTGGTCTTGGAGGTCCAATAATAGTAGGTATAGTCCCAAAAGCGTTCTCAGAGTCATATTAAGTCAAAGTACAACTATGTGCTTAAAGTCGTCAAAGTCACAAAGCGTGGCCATATGCTAAAATTTGTAATATTCCGTCCTATAGTCGTGATAGTCCTCAGCAATAGTTCTAAAAGATATTTTTATCGAAGTCAGAGAGGTCAGAAGCTTAGTAAATAATTTTTGTGAACATAGTCGCTGGTCTTGTAAATCCAGTCCTCAAAGTCCCATGATGTTCTCGAAGTGTCAAAGTGAAACTGGGAGTAAAATTAAAATGCCACTTGAAGAAGTGTGTTCCAGAGACAGACATCTTCCTTGAATTACAAGGAAAAGGTCTTAACGTGGTGGCGAGCGAGTGTTGATTCCTCAAATGTTGGAGTTGGCATTACATCCACATCGAACATTGGTTCAACATCGGAGTTCAACCTTTCGACCATATATAGTAAATACTCCCGGCACTTGATTACATCTCATTTGTTATAAACCGTCATAGTGCTAAATATTTGTGATTGCATGGAGGTATTAAGATCGTGTGAATACAGAGCCTAACACTAATTGGCTACTACTGTGTATACTTTGAAGCCTATTCCAATTTTGAGGACACTTTGAGGACATGGTTAGACTTTGAAGACTTTGAGGACACTCTACGAACACTTTGGTGAGTATACGACTTCGAGGACTTACTTGACTTTGTCGACACTTTGATGACTTTGAGGACACTTTGCGGACTTTGAGGACACTTTGTGGACTATGCTACCTTGAGGACACTTTGCAGACACTTTGCGGACTATACGGCTTTGATGACACTTTTCAGACACTTTGCGGACACTTTGATGACACTTTGGTGAGTATACGACTTTGCGGACACTTTGAGGACACTTTGCAGACAGTATCGATTAGGCTCCATCTATTTCTTCGTCCGACGTAACTTATAGATTTACTAATAGAATCAAGATCAATTTCACTGATGTGACAAACAAAAATGTGACTCGCAAAAAATTGAAGGGTTATAATATAGCATTACATTCACGATTGTTTAACTTCTTGCTCATACCTGCACATCCCGCCTAATAAGAATGTATTGTACATTTTTGTAATGTCTATTCATACAGCATGTCAAATCCAATGTAAGTAAATATATATAGTAACTACACTACAGCGCAGTGAAGCGCTTCAAGCAAGTCAGCAGTTCATCTCTACTAATGGGTTCACCCGGATGTGTCTGGCTATTACTGTCATCTATCTGCTTCTTGTGATACATGCTAGTTGCATTCTTGAGGTCCTTCCAGAAGTGCTTTATGATCGCATTGGCGATATCATGCGCCGGCTTTGTGGTGTTTGTCTTGAACTTCGGCTTTTCTGTGCCGGTGGCAACATATTTGTTGCAATCTAATATCATGATGCAAAGAGCAATCAGAGGCCTGCTGTATAGCTCTGAAACATTATGTCAAAAGTGTCCAACGTTGTACAAGTAGAAATAGACTCACTAATATGACGCGATATGCGCGGTAAGTTAATGACCATTCGCTGAAAAGTTTCCAGAGAATGTTCGTGGACTTGGTTCGTGAGGGTCCTTCCTTGCTTATGGTCTATGTATCGAGAAATTTCCATTAGATGCATGGTTTCGTAGTTGTAGAAATGCCCTCCGGTGGCAAATGAAGTTACTGGTGTGTAAACCGCATGGAATTGGCTGGGAGGTTGTATACTAGTAATTGTGAGTAAAAATCCTTATAAAATGACAATGTACTCACAGCATGTCACCGGGTAAGAGAGTAACGATCTCTCTGTGCCAAGTCTCCTGTATTTCCTTGCAGTTTTGATAGAGATCCATTAGCTCGGGGGCTATCTTGTAGAGGTTGGTCCGTGTAAGCGTGTCCTCCTGAATGGGTCGCCACAGGCCCCATTTTTTTTGCCTGTTTCGACTTGCACGAAAGTCAGGCTACCATCTGAGTTGTGGTGAGGATGTGTCCAATACGCGGGGCTATGGACCAACACCCACAAGTGTACGGTGAAGTTATCCGGGTGGACCTTTTCACCGATGGGGCAGTCAACGGTAGTTTGATTCCAACCATTGACGATACCGCTGTCGAGAGTGCTGATAATAGATGGGTCAGCTAACTTAGTAGTGTGATGGTTTAGGATGATGAGAAGGGTACAAACCTTAGAGCTGATGGGAGACCACCTTGTCTGTATGCAATGTCAAGAATACACTGGATCTTATTGGGATCATGTATGTTTTTCACGAACTCTTCGAGAGTTGCGTGCTGGTGAGGATACGTAAAATCCTTGGTCCATTGTTCAGTGTCTTTTGGAATGAGGTTAGATCATGTGATGAGTATACAAAATTAAAATAACCATACCATGTATGACGACGTGCATTAAGTCTGACATCCCGTGATCTTCGAGATAGTCTAGACCCAACGTTGCAGGTTCAGGTGTGCTTATTTTCTGAATGACGACGGCTTTGTTTACCTGAATTGCCGCAGAGATCTGGTCGCACAACTGACGGCTCTTTGTGCGCCAGTTGTTGTAATGTAAGTGTATGACATTTTTAGAGGTCTCGGGAAGCGATTCCAGGAGGGAAGCAAAGAAAGACACTGTTTCTGCGTCTCCTTTGCATATATTGACGCCATCCCTCATGATGCACGGTAGTACGGTCGTGGATCCATCAGACCAGTCGATGGTATCTGATTTTTTGTGGACTTGAGTGCTGATAATGGGAGTCGCCAGGTCGCGAGAGTCGAGATTGGTAAGGGTGGAGGAGGTAGGCGAAGAAGGTACAGGGATTGTTTCGACAGGCGGCAGCGGCGGATTGATGAGAGGTTCCAGAGCATCCGTCATCACCTCAGCATCGCACATTAGATGGAGAGTCGGAGTAGGCGCAGTAATCTCCTGGTTGAGGAGGAGTGGGTCAATATGGATATGGTCTGGGGTTGAGTTAGGTGGTGCCGCCTCAGGATGTGTTTCCTCTTGGTTGAGGAGGAGTGTGTCGACAGGGATATGGTCTGGAGTTGAGTTAGATGGTCCTGCCTCAGGATTTGTTTCCGGAGAAGAAACACGCTGTTTCTTTGGAGGACCTTGTCCTTCGGCGGAGTCTGCATTGCCAGTTTTGTCGGCCTTCTCCTTTTCCTCCTTCTTTCTCTTTCACCATGCGCATTTGTTGGCAGCGTTCCTTTCCTTGATCTCTTGCACCCTGGCAGGATTGCGCTTCTCATTGGCGAGCCATCTTCTCTCGCGTTCGCGCTGCTTTTCCTGTTTGGTCAGATTAGATTTGGCGAGGTCGGTGTGCTGAAACCTTTGCTTCTTGTCCGGTTGGTCGTGCTGTAGCATTGTATATCAACCAGGAATTTTTTGAGTTAAGATACAGCTAAGCCTTAAGGTGGAAGTGAAGATGAGATGGAAGTTAAGAGGGAAGAAGTGCGAGGGGCGAGGTCGCATTAAGTAAGGAAACATGGATTTGTGGGGCTCAAACAGCTGTGAACGTTTGATATTGTCCTCAGTGTGGATTATGTGTTTTAGTACAGGAGAAGTTGATCCTCGAAAGCTTAGTAAGGAACATGTTAATATTAATATGGTAAGTAGGTCTTGGAAGTGTGACCGTGTCCTCAAAGTCGTAATAGCTCAATTATCACAGTTAGACTGGTCACAACTAGTTAGTGTGAACATAAGTAGTCACTGGTCTTGGAAGTCCAATAATAGTAAGTATAGTCCCAATTGAAGTGTCCTCAGAGTAGTATCGAGTCAAATTCCTACTACGTGCTTAAAGTCCTCAAAGTCCTAATAGTCTTCAAAGTGTCCTTAAATTCGTAGTAGAGTCTTAATAGTCCTCAAAGTGTCCTTAAAGTTGTATGTAGTAAGTCCTCAAAGTCATAATAGTCCTCAAAGTATCCTCAAAGTTGTATGTAGTAAGTCCTCAAAGTCGTAATAGTCCTTAAAGTATCCTTAAAGTTGTATGTAGTAAGTCCTCAAAGTCATAATAGTCCTCAGATATATTTATTGCAGTAGTGAATATAGTGGTCGGTCTTGTAAATCCAGTCCTCAAAGTCTCAAAGTCAAGATAGAAGTCCAAGTGAAATCCCACCTGCTGGAGTGATATGGTGAACATATCATGTGAACATTCGCGATTCAATATCGGTTTACATTGGGAGTATTCAAACATAGTCACTTTTCTAATATACATGATAGTACAAATGATATATGTGAGATTATCTATTCAAACAAAAGGTGACATTCTTTTTCGGTACGGGTATTTATTTTCCTACTCTGGTTTTTATAATACTTGAGGTCTGACCTCCACTTCTTGGTAGTCAGCAAGGTCGCATTACCGGTGCGTAGTCTTTCCAGTCTTCCCTGGAACATTTGTTTGCAGGAAAGGTTCCAGTATCCTGTGTCCAAACCCGATGAGTCCCACAACTGAGGCATGGGCCACCACACCAGTGTAGTAGTTTGGGTGCGTCTATCTGTGAATGAGATGTTAACGTGTCAGATACATCAGAGGAAGGTGGAAAGGGTGTACCTGTATCAACGTAGTATATCCCGCATAATATCTCAATCTCATGGTCGGTGAGAGTGTCGAATAGGTAAGTGTGGGATGCTTGTTGTGATGTATCCACAAAATAGAGGACGTCGGGTGAGGGTCCATTGGGTATGTCATTGGCCAGTTCTTGTTTGCATAGACGCCATAGAATTCCACCGGCTTGGCCAACAGTGACTCTTACATGTGGCAATATCAACAAGTGATTTCTGCGGAGTTCGTACTCCATATATTTGTACTTGTCGGCTTGCCAACCGAAAGGACGCCGGTTGGACTCGAAAACAGTGATAGGACGAGGAACGACTGGGTATGCGACATTGAAAAGAAGTTTGAATGGGATTCCACGCTCAAACAGGTATAGGATGACATCCTCCAAAGATGGTCCCCATTGTTCTCTGATGCATTGGACAACGGTAGTGGCATTGTAAACGAACAAGTTCCACTTTCGGGCATATTTCGGGATGAGAGGGAGGAAAAAGTAGCCAGATAGAGTGTTATCCTTGACTAGGTCGATCTTGAAATACACGTTGTGTTCAAGGAGTTGGCGAGCATGGTCAGGATGCAAATCCCATAAGAGGGAAGGTGGTTGTATTTCAAGTGCGAGGGAGGAGATGAAGTAGTGAATGGCGAATTTGTTACTGTGTCTTTCCAATGAAAGGTTGACCTCCATTATGTATTTGTGAATGGTGTAGGTGTCAACTATCTGAGATTCTTGAATGGGTGTGTAGTCTGTGGCAGACTGTATTTTGGATTGTTTGCTGCAGAGAAATCCGTAGCAGCTGTACAGAACATCTTCTAGCGAGGTGCTGAATACCATGTCCTGCCCAATCGGTCCTTGGTGTACCATCGTCCTTCCCAACTCATTGTGGTCAGATGAAAGGGTAGGAGGTTTGTTTAGTCGAGGAGTTGGGATGGAACCACCATCTTGGAGCGGATGGTCGTCGAAAACGTCTTCCTCCTGTGTTAGACCATGATCTTTGTCGAATAAAGAACAAATGTCCCATTGGTTGGAGATTCCATTGTATACAAAATGTTCTCGTCGTCTGCTCTCAAACTCCTTCTTTGCATCCTCATAGTCGAGCTCTCCTTGGAACCTCCCTTTGTTGGAGCGATACCACATAAAGAATCTTGTGAGGTGGTAAATTAGAGAAAAAAAAAGACAAAAAAAGAAAGAACACGAACCTTGTTCCATCTCAGTGTGTGGGTAGGATAAAATTTGAAGCGGCTTTGAGCCTTTTCTGTACCCATTCCTTTATACTGTTGGATGCATGTGAGATGAAATCTTCAAGCTTGGATTTCCGGGCTTCAAGAAGTGTGTTCCATTGGTGAAGACTGTTGGGGTTCAGATTGGAGGGACTTGGCTTCATGTCTTCTGTGATGGATTTGTTAATCATGGTATGTATGCAGAGCTCATCTTCGTTTTTAGGGGTGGTGAGGTTGAAGTTTGGATGTTTGAAGGAATTGGTGTAATATATTCCACTCGACGATCCTATCTTGATCCAGACGGGGACTTGTATGCAGTTGAGATAAGGCAATATGGGGCCCCATGCAGAAGACCTGGGCTCGAGGACTATACCAATGCATCTTCCAAGGATCTCTGGTTTGAGTGCATCGATTATGTCACATACGTGCGCCTCGCTGAGCCCAGATTGAATAAGTGTGTGAGATGGGGAAAGTATGGGTTTGGCATCGGTAGGTTTAGCATTTTCATGTCATATGAGGGCACATCCATAAAATAGGTTCACAAGACCTATGAGACTGTGGAATGCCAGCCTGGATCTCTTGGCACATCGAAGGGCATAGGATTGCTTCTTGTGGTTGCGAAGGTAGCCGTAGGAAGATGGTAGGGGTAGCATGGAGAATTCCGTGGGGAGTAGAGAGTCGGTACTGAAGGTAGAAGCAACGTGGTATAGGGTGTCTTTGAGCCATTGTCAGCTTGATTTTTGTTCAGAAGAAAGTGCGTAGGATGTCCCAGAAGGCACTCTCTGGATGGTAGCGAGGCGCTGGAAGAGCGTGCCTGTGTATTTCAGCTCTGAGTTGTCTGGGGTAGCTGCGACCTGTATATAGCGAGACAGGATGAATTGCAATTTGAATATTTCTTCGGGGTCAGAATCTTCATGCATGAAATCCGGTTTGACCTTGGAGGAGAATGGGCACACCGTTTGCGTGGCCGAAAAAACGATTGAGTCTACGTCCTTCAAGTAGAAATAGTGTCTGTCATCTGAGCATGAACTATACTAGGTGTGAGCGGGCTGCTGATAGTCAGAGAATTTCACTGCTTACATTGAAGGAACTGTAGGCAGTGAGGGTGTAGGCAATGATGGGCTTTTTGTGATCGCGATCTCATTCAGGTTAGCAACTAAAGGCCTGGAAGACTTTTGGGCATGTCGGTACATCGCAATATGTTTAAAGACAATACAAGTGCGCATGAATGACAGTGCTGGTGCGACTAACTGGAATTTCCAAGTAGAAGCCAAGGATGGGGTGTTTGGATGAAGGTGATGTATGCACCCATAAAGGCGCTAGACACGAGTGTCACTTCTCACATGATGCCAGAGCGATGGCTCCATGCCCCCGTAAGGAGCTACGACAATGTGATGTGAGCAGATTTGTAACAAAGGAAGTAGAATGGGAAGAGAACATATGAAGCGGAAGTTGAAATTGAACCACATTTTGAACCATCACGTGATATTTTCCATGCCACGCGCCATTCTGTAAGACGACTTGGACGAAAATCCATGGTTGGTGTGTGTTTGATTTGTGTAGGCATTTGCAGTCACATTCATGATGCATATGAACATAATGTAATTCGAAAGCAGATAAGAGACTTGACATTGAAGACCAATGGGTAACACCATGTGTTCTTTATGCACCTCATCAAACATGTCAAACACTTGACTGTCCTGCTTATGTGCAAGGCCCTGTCCTCAAGATAGCACAGCAATGATAAGTTACACAGATTGTATTGCAAAGGATGTGTCATTGGATGAAATAATCAACGATGCCCCTCTTGAGGAGGATTCAATCGACCACACCCGAGAAACAGCAGCCTTGACTTGAAACCCCTTTTCCACTTCATCGTCGATCGATACGCAAACCGACTGGAGTTGATGTAATGTCTCCTGAATGTGACCTTATCAGACCCACTGTTACGTCGACTGTAGGTCGGCGTGTGCGAACTAGGATAGGTCTTCTCAGCGACGACTCGAGTGAGTCTACTGAAGCTGAGCGTGGTCTAGCCTTGACGGAACGTCAAGGATTCCTCCGGCGATCTCGGTAAGACGGCGCTCGTCGAGATGCAGGGCTAGCGGATACGTGCTAAGTCGTATGGGGGCGACTTAGAAGTGCGGTCTCACACAAGGAAGCTGATAGGCTTAGATGAGCAAGTTCTTGGGAGAACCTAGTAGATTAAAGTGAAGTCTAATCTACAACAATGTGTCTACTTATACATAGTGTATGTAGGCGTTCAAGCTCAGTCTGTAATCTATAGTATATCTGTGATCTAAGATAACCAGACATGAGGTTAGATAAAGTACATGAGGCTTAGCCTCTGATCATACATGCAGCGCCAAGTGCGACTGCGCAATCAACATGAGGCGCGTAGGAGCGCTCCGGATCTTCATGAAGCGACATGCTGTATACATGCGCTGATCTAGGGTGTTCATGAGGCGTACAGCCTCCATGGAACAGGTACAAGGCCGTCTAGGCCAGGGGCGGGGTCATAGCGGTCCAGACCGCTGTCTTTCTAGGCGCAGGCAGCGCACCGCCGCGCGGGGAGTCTAGCAGAGCGGGGGCAGGTGTAGGGAGAGCTGGGGCTCTAGTAGGTGTTACAGATCCCTGTAACACCCACAAGAAGTCCTTAAATCAGCAAAACTCACACAAATCCAGCTTCGTGTGATGCTTACGCGGTATCTGATGGATTCCACTGTTGTCCCTCATGCAGGCACTTCATGTGTAGATTCCTTGCAGTGGGTGTCCCCAATGTTCAGGTTATGCATGTCACGACACATACTTCTGTGATCATAAAACAAATACCCTTCATGACGGCTGCGTAACACTTGATGCTGAAAGCTGTCGATGAGACGACAATAGAAACCTGCCATGTCAGTACAAAAACTTGGGGCCGTGTGATACCTAGTTGCTACAGTAGGCGATCAGGCTGCTCTAATCTTAAGTCACTCCTTGTCTGATCCTTAAGGAAATATCTCCATCATCTTCCAACCATGTTGGTACTCAACACCCACTTCGTCCAGCTACACGTCAGGATTGCCTGTAATAAACTTATAGGCCAAGAAGCCTATGTGCTTGCCCATCGGAGAGGCTTCACCTGACGTCCATATTTATGCAACACTTAAAGGAATACCAGCAATATCACTGTCCATCACCAGAAGCATGAACTCGCAGCTGATGAATCAGTCAAACCGCTATACTTGGACGGAAAGAGGAGGCAGGACAGGCATAACCATCGTCCACTTAGGAAGAGTGTACTGATACAAAATAACACCCATCCCACCTGCACCAAGGTCCATCTTTGAGTACATCTCCAAGAAAGACCAAGCATGCATTAAGAACATTGCTGCAAGCCACTTCGCTTCCCCTTCCACGCCGGATGCTTCGTTATCCATCTCCTTTGAAGGCACTGCTGATGCCAAACTATTGGACATTTATACAGTGTGCACTGAATCATCATGGTGCAATCAACAAAAATCAAGGGACAGAGTTGAGAGGTATTGGTGAGACAAATACAAAAGATGACAAGGTAAATGTATACTTCGTGTATTAGACAGACGCAGAGCAGTGGTTTGAATGCACTATAACAATGACATCTAAAGTGCCATAAATTGAAGAAGTACCTTATCTAGCTTTTCCCTGACAACAAGCTCCCCTCTCTCAAACTGATCGCCTTTGTATAGTAGCATAGAGGCTGACTTGCGCTTTGTGACTCTGAGATGGGACGCGATAGCAGTCGATATCTGTGCACTGAGTGCTGCTGTTTCCGTATCTGCCACAGCAGATTTATGTCCTCCCTTAGCACGGTATTGCTTTCCCTGCAAGACCATTATGCACAGAGCGAGCAGTGGTCTTTTGTACAATGCTTTGAATGAGATGTCAGGCATATATCGTGTAAGGATATAACGATAAATTCTCACATATTCTGGGGGACAAACGTGGTATTCCAATCATCATGCGTCAGAGGGTCTCTAAGGCATTATGTAGCACCTGATTTGTCAAACAGTCTCCAACAACAACATTGAGGTATCGAGAGATTTCGGTGAGGTGCATGTACTCAAGATGATAGAAATGTCCCCCTGTGGCGAAAGAGGCAACCGGTGTATATACAGCATGCAATTGACCTGGAGGAATTATCCTGCAATGAAATATATCAATTATCGCGATGAAAAATCAACATCCATCACGAACAACGTGTCTCCAGGCATGATAGTTATGACCTCGGCGTGACAGTTTGCTTGGATCCAAACTTCATTTTCTGTGAAATCTCCTAGCTTGATCGCAATTTCCTGTAGATGCTTACGATCGTCATGTCGATCGATGGGTCGGAAGACCACCCAGAACTTCATGCCAACTTCCATCCTGACCCATGTTAGGCTCCCCTCAGCGTCATGGTGTGGATATGTCAGGAATCCAGCGTGATGAAGTAGACCCCAACCCTTCACAGTGAAATTTTTGGGATGGACATTTCATGTGATTTGAACGTCGTATGTGGTGTGGTTCCATCCATGAGAGAGACGGTGATCGAGATTTCTGTCATCATGCGTTACGTAGGAGATGTCTTGGATATGGAAAAACAAACCTCAATTGATCTGGGAGTGATGTCTGAGCGAGAGAGATATCCAACACGCATTGTATTTTGTCTGGATTTTTCATAGATTCACAAAACGATTTCAGGACACCTGCTGTCGTGACATTCATATGATCTATTGCCTGGGACTTGGCGTCTGATATCTCAATCAGATATTTGCACGATTATATGTGAAATATGCAACAGTACCGTGTATCCATACGACTCTATGGGGCGATATCGTGTATTGTTTGTCGAGGAAATCCGCCGTCAACTCTTCCTCAACAGGATGTTGCCCAATCCCTCTAATGACAACTGGTTTATTTTGACTAAGCGCTGAGCTGACCACGTCCTCCAGTATATGTTGTGGAACATCAGCATTTGATATATGTGTCATGTATTGCGAGCAAGGTGTAGATTCTGGACATTTGGCCAGATACTGGATGATTGGTATGTCCACAGCTTCACAAAGATTTTTCTGCTTGTCATCGTAAACGGCTGGGAGGATTGTCGTGTGGCCGTCCTTCCACGTGATAACAGGACTATTCAATGGTACTTCTGTGCCCAAGAGTGCGCCAGTGAGGTCGTAATTGTGTGGCACTGTCATGCCTGATGTTAGTACAATGAATCAGTATTCAAACATACCCTTTTATGTAGCTTCGCTTCTTACCAAAATGTCTGTATTATTCGTGAGAGGGCTATTCTATTATCACTGTTGTAGCTCGTGTATAATGATGTGGTGCGATATTTACTCCATGGTCACATGAATTTGGGCTGATCGGCGTAGTTGACCAAATACGATGTTCGAATTCAAATTGATATCCCACCTGGACACAATCCTAATAATTTATTGTAACGGTGCTGTCGCACCAATTCCCCGACACCAATCTCCCACATGCATTGCCATCCGATTCTGACCAAATGTTATATCTTGTCACTGACACTTCTAGTCACATAGATACAGAGTGTATGTTGAAACTCTCATGATAATACAAAGCAGATATCTCCTGTAGTTGAGTACGGCCAACCACATCAACACATTCGTCCTTCCCTTCAATTCCAAGCACAGTGGTGGTTGAACACCTTCAACAAACTATCCTGATGGCGGAGTTGAATCCTACACATGCATGCTACCACTATTCCTGCTGGCGCCTATCTTGGGCACTGCCTTTCTTCACAGGAAATGCTTAGCCTGCAGGACCATCCTATTTTCATTTACCTTTGTTCTCCGCTGCGTGTGACATGGCCTTGGGCACACTCCCATCATCAAGCGGCAGCAAATGCAGCAATTGAGACATGTCTGATAGATTTGTGAGCCCGTCGGTCGTTTGCTATCTGGCGCGACAGTCCACCTGATATCGCTGAGCATGTGCAGTTCACGGATACCCTGCCTACTTACAAATGCATGACAACTTCCACAGCCACGACTGATTGCTCCCCGAACTTCTTGCTGTATTCACTGGGATGAATCAGCCCACCTGCTGCATCTCACACGTTGGGTACCACGACAGGTACATCGTCCATGTTGTAGAGGTCCATCACCGTCTGGAGGTGACCCTGATGGTTGGGCATGTCTTTTATCCTCCATTCCCCGACCTCTGTCCTTTGAGTCAGTGCAAGATTGCCACCACCGAGGATATCACTGACCTTTCTCGTCAGACAATGCAGTTGCATGCTCTCTTCCTTTCTTTGCAGATAACCATTCCTTATTCACTCAGTTCTTACTTCCACTCCACGTCAGGTCAGTATCTGCCAAATCGGGTTATCACTCAGCCAGCAATCTCACATGAAATTCCAAAGATGTACTCTCAAAGTCTTCCAATGAGAATTCAGGCACCACGTCTCAACCCACTTCCCCAGCTTGAGGAAAAAGATGGTCCGAGTGCACCACAAAGTGCAGTGGGTCAGTAGCAGATGCACCTGTGCTGCAAAGGAACTGGATGACCTCGTGATTGTCTGTGCAGAGAGGTCAGCCATTTGGACACAGCCACAAACAATTTCCAGGCTCACCTGCTCCTCTATTCTTCTCACATTTGCTCACAATGTACATCAATGTGTTAGCGGCCCCGGATACACAGTTGGAACTCATAACTCATGGGAGGACTTGACTTGTCAGGTGCAAGCATTGATGAAGGTGGGAGATACGGCATGAGAACAATGAGGGAGTGAATGATTGGAATTTGCGATGGAGTGTAAAACTTAAACAATCGGTGACCATCAGCATGAGTCACTGTCACGCAGCAGTGTCTCACATCTTGGGGAAAAACCCTGTGTCAGAAAGAAGAGGCAGATGTTGATACAAAAAGGGCCAGGCAACGAAAAAGAATGAGTTCATTGGGTTGGGTAACCAGAGGACTCGCACCGGTTCTGAGTGAGTTTACAGAAAATGGTGGGTCTCAAACTGGCTGTTCACTGTCTCGCTTACCCAGGTACGTGCGCATGGCAGTAGATCTGGGGCCAGCACTAGACATGGAGAAAGTGATTCAGAGTGGGACAAGGGCAGTTAGCCAATGCAGTGAAATGAGCTTGGCAAGTTGAGGATGATCCATCGTTTTGCAGGCGCGTGTATGTAAGCTTACGCAAAAGCTTGCAGAGTGAGAATATTTTCAGACACATGGGAAAATATTTGAGGTCAACAAAGCCCTCCCCCACTAACGTGGGTGTCGGGGATGCAGCAAAAATGGTTATCCATGAGTGTCACATGGTACAATGACTCATCGGACTTTGATGCAAATTTACACATGGTGGAATATCGTCTGGAATGGTGAATATTCAACGATAATCAGGTGAATAGTAGCCAATATTTTCTCCTGCGACCCTCACTTCTCCTCCTGCTGGAACAATCAGAATACTCATAGTAATCCTGTACTTCTGAGATGGCAACTGAGCATCTGAACACAATTTATGGATTGTTAATGTTGTGGCGAATGCGCTTGTTTATCCAAGTTCATGATATTGATTTATGTAAGTCTCGAACGAGTATTCAGCTGTAGGTCAAATTTCGGTTACAGGGAGTGATACATGAATGGTAATGAAAGGAAAAAAACACGCATGAAACAGATACCACCAAGAGCAAACTAACTATGGAAGCAGACCACGATCACCTCTCATGTGCATGTACCACTGCTAGTGAATTCATGAACTCATTCATTCTGGAGTTGACTTAACAAGAAGCCTCACATCTTTATCCTTCACTCTCGACAAACGATCCCATGATGCCTTTGTTCTCAAGACAGCCTGCTTTTTATCGTGACCCTCCACAATATTGCTTTCCTCGATGTCATCGCTGCCCTCCATGATATCGCTGTCCTCCATGATATCATCGACCACTTGAGTAGATTGTGGAGATGAATCCAGTAATTCATCAACACTGGAATCATGCATGAAGTCGATGCGAGTGAGAGAAACAGAGTTTCCAGGATCTGCGACATGCTCTTCTGCATCTTGCGTATTTGAGGGAGATGATATGTGCATGTTTGAGTCAATGTCACTGCGATCACCGATGTTATCATGATGCTGAATTGCCTGTGTTGACTGTGGTGGATGAACAGGGTCCCTGGTAGTGTCCATGCCACAGTCCCGAGTGAGGCAAGAGTCGGATGGTATCGATGATGACGCAGCTTCGATACTGTCGAATAGACCTGGTTGACGGATAATACCTCCAATGGATGTGGGGGTCAGTGATGAATGGTGAATAAACAAGCTTCCTAAAGTATTATTTGGCCGCTTTGATGACCCCCTTCCTCCATCTGCCTGATTTTTCCAATGGTCAGATGATCATATGCAGGACTGAAATTTAAACATACCTTTCGCGGGGAAAGCGCGCTGGACAGTGTCCTCTTTCATTTGTGTGGATCATGCTCATCTGCATTGACTACTGGAGCTGATACTGGCACACCGGAAATAAGCATATCACTGAGGGCCCCTGATACATCTTCTTTGTCATTGCGATCACCCTCTGCATCCAATTCCAATATATCAGAAAATGGCCAATGCTTGATTGAGACCATGCTACATACAGGGTTAGTTGTGTGATATGTCCAACTTGCGCCATACCTTTTCACAGGTACCGGGAGTTCTGGGAGGAGCCTAAAGCCTGGATGACTATTTCCAAGTCGCTCCTCAGCTGATGCCTTTCCAATCTCATCAAAGATATGAGTGAGGAATTCAGGGTGTGTGTCGATGTGAGTGAGTGCTGAATACAACCATGTCATCCCCAATGCCTCGTGGAAGTCAGCGTCAAAGTCCATCTGATAATTCGCAGGGTGATCAGGAATCAAAAGCCCGTCAGAATCTTTCTCCATTGGAACCTTGGCCAGCTGTCTGAATCAAAGGAGGATCCATGTGCCGAGCTTCAGAAACATGGTCAAGTTACCTTTCCGAAATGCTACGTTATGCCAGTTATCCCAATCATCAAGGGTAGATGGGAGGTTGTCATCCGGGAACCCAATGAGATCTTCAGTGGTATTGTCCTGGCTACACGTTAGACCAATATACTAGAAGGCATGAATCACTGGCCAACCTCATTGACTGCTACGATGGACGTATTGGACTGATTTTGAGATGATTCAGTGTCCTTTAACACATGAGTGAGGATGAATGGTTGACATCACAGTACATACCATCTGAGTCATGGTCTGTGACTCTGACAATATCAGTTCTCGCACTGGCATTGGCGTTGATTCTGACACTCCTAGTATGGGCTCTGTGCCTCCATTGCTATCAAAAATTTCTGGCGTACCATGTGCAGCATCATTGCTGCTTTCATCCTATTTCACAAGGCGAAATGAGCGCAACTTGGACACACAGAAGGGCAGCCATACCTCGACATCTGACTCGACAATGGCTCTGCTTTTTCCCTTTCCTTTCGCAGACCTGGTAGCATGGGTCGGTTCTGTTTCTTCTGTCGATGATGACATGTGTCCTTCACCAATGCGTCTATCACCAGTGTCATGCATTGAGGGTCATGCAATTTTGTTGGCATTCTGGTCAAGAATGGTAATCAATCCAGCCTCGATTTATTTAGAGGCGCACAGACCTTGTCTTCGTCTCCTATCTCCTCCTTGGATTCGACATCAGCACTAGCCTTCTGTTTACCCTGTGTGCAAATATTCCTTGTAGCATGGTGTGCTCGACTCTTTTTCTATTAAATACGATCATCACATTGTGATGCAGATAAGCAGTTACATACCATTTCAGGAGTTGAATCTCGGAGCGTGCTTCCTCGATCTTCCTAATAATATTAAAAATAAATCGGTCAGTATTTCTTCATGATTATTTGAGGTCATTGACATTAACCTTTTGCAAATGACCGCCCTTGACAATTTTACGAGGTTTCCATCCATCCTCCTTCAGCTCAAACATATGTGCAGTCTCATCAATATCATCCTCTTCAACTTCATGGACTGTACTCAAGGCTTTTTCCGACTCCATTGGTCTAACTGCCATCTTGACCTTGCGAACCATCATGTGTTTGGTGCTCTTCTTAGGTTCGGCAGCAACATCATCGAACCGAACAAGTTTCTCGCTCTTCTCTCCATCGACCTCCGTTTGCATGCTGGTTGTAGATGCTTGGACTATTTCAGCGATAATGTCTTCTACAGACATCTTGTGATCAGCAGTGGTGTCGCCGCACATGTTCTTTCCATTGCACAGTTGTTGGTGGTACTTTTTGACGTCCACTCATTGAGGATAGATTAGATGAGGAATGATATTAGACTATCTATAGGGTACTCACGCTGCATAACAGGCCTATAGCTTTCTTGCGCTTGAAATCAGTCCACGTTCATTTGATCTTAGATAACGCCGCTTTTTGCATCGCCTTTGAAAAAGTGTTGTTTTCCAATGCCATTGCAAAGTGATAGTCCAGGTGAGCTGAACACCATGTCTTATTTGAACTTGACTTCTTTGCAGAATGCCAGTAACACCTCCCAGTAATAATGTGTGACGGCAATGTAGACTGCCAAAGATTGGACTGTAACTGAATGCTCCATGAGTTTCTGAACAACCTTCTGATAAACATTGAGATGGTGAATAATTAGGTGCAATGCATCAGAGTATTGATCTGGCACGGGCAGCTGTATCTAGACATCTTGTCGATAAATTAGAGAGATCTTGCGCAAAATAATACACTGATTCCTTGTTAAAACAAATATTCAAGGTATCATTGATCTTCTTCAAAGAGCATCGTCAACTCAAAATATCTTCTGTCAAGTCAGAAGCTCATCTTCCTTCAACTACGAGGACAATGGGGCTCTTCATGGAGTAATTTGACGAATTCATGGTTCAAGTGACCGTGTGAATTTACATCAAGCCTGAGTACCATATGTGTAACCCATTGTTCTAAATCCCTGTTTATTCACTCAGTTTATAATATTTTATTCTTCAATGCAGCATTGTTGCATCTCCTCATGATTTAATGATCTACATTGCTTGTAGTCCTCGTATGAGCATGGCTTAAAATACATTCGTATTCATAGTCTAATCATCGGCAGCTCTGGCATATATTCTTAGGAAGGCGTGGCAGCAGACTTCTTTTTCGAACTCTGTTAGATCGGACCATTTTCAAGCCACGTGACATGTTCAACTTTGCACTGGACGACACTAAGGCAAGACTAATGTTTCTAATGATGTTTCTGAGCGTCAACCAAGTTAGATGTTACATTTGTCATATAAAATCTGCGATATTGAATGTGGCGCATTAGTGATGCTCACAGGGCATCGTGTGATTAAGGTTTTCCGGTATTTGCCGCATACTATACAGTTGCCGATAGAATCAGTCAAGACGTGTCATTTGGACCAAGTACTCCTTAAAAACAGGACATGATCGCTCCTACTCATTTTGGGCATTACTTTCAAGGAACTGTCACTGCTTCAACAGCTCCAAAGGATGCTAACACTAATACTAATAATACTAAAGCCAAGAATGGAAAAAAGCGTACTGCAGGGGCAAAGTCCCTCAACGTGCCGTATCAAAAGCTTACTCCAATTTTCGACGATGGAGATGATAAGACACATATGGATGTTGAGATGGACATTGGTCCTACCTGTTCCAGTCAGTCATGTGAAGTGAAGGATGCTATCTTGGTAAGTTCGCATGCAGTTATAATGAATTATGAACGCTATGCTGTATCCTAGCATTGCATGTACTGTCAGGATGTTGGTTCATACATATGGAAGTGT